GAAACATGGGTCTTAACATTACAGCTTCAAAAGGCAACGCAGTCTGTTTGGTAAATTTTTCTGGCAATTTAACAGTTTTTTGTGAAAATTTAATTTTTCACTTATTTGCATCTTTATTTTCTGTTCTTTGTCTGTACATTTGACAGCTTTGCTGCCTTGTTTTTTTTTTTTTTTTTTTTTTTTTTGCTTTCTGCTAGAGAACAAAGTTCTTTTTCATCTGCAGAGTCAAATATTTGACATGTGCAGTGCTTTGTCTCAGAGAGAACTCGACCCCTTCAGTCAGCACCAAGGTTCGGAGTACCGTGGGCAGAAATCGTGTAAAAAGTGCCTGGGAGATGAGATAAAAACCCAGACGTTGTTTTGATTTCTTTGTATTTAATGATGCATTTTATTTTTTGGAAATTTTCCTGGAGTAGAATTCTATTTGGAAGACAGATAAATATTCCCTAACCAACAATGAATATTATCATAATCAGACATCTCTTATCATCTCGAAATATAACCGTTTAAATTTATATATAGACATGCAGCGTGGTGACAAGTTATAAGAAACCTTTTTTACGGGAAGGTTTATTGTGAGGAAAATGTATAAAAGCTGAAGATGCGACAAGTACCAAGAAACTCCTTGGGGACGCCAACGCGGTCATCCATCTCTGCGTATACGACATTCCTCCCGTTCCATAGATTCTAAGATGAAGTATTTGCTGTTTCTGGTAGGTTCAAATATTGTATTGTATGGGACTCTCCCCCTCTATTTGTAAACATATTTAAAACAGTGTTGGAGCACTCGTCGACGCTTTCTTTCTAACATATTTTTAAAAAAATTTTTGTCCTACATGTATAGTTTAAATATATCCCTTTCAGTTACTTCTGCTTGGCGCTTGCCTAGCAGCCAGCGCTGTCGAAGAGGCTGAAGACGAAAATAGCGATCAGTTCGTCGACGATGGTGGAGAGGAGGTTCTGGAGGACCAGGAAGTCGAAAATGATCTTTATGACAAGGTGATATTTGATGCTTTATTTTTCAGTTTGTTGTTGATACAAATTTTTTAGTAGAAGGCCCACGACTTAGAGACTAGAAATAAATATTTTTGGATTTGGTGCTTTCTGTTTTAAAGAAAGCGTGTGGGGTATTTTATTGTATTCGGAAGAGCCTATTTTTTCGATAACCGTGATGAATGTCATTCATGTTATATTCTTGTTGAGCAGTGCCATGGTTACGTAATGTTGATACTTGCCTTGTTACTGATGGCAGAGGTGCTGCTTATGCGAAATCATATATACATTTGAGTTTTGGTAATCAAAAGACTAAAAGTCTACATGACTACAGGAAAATTAATTGTATTGTATAATTTGTTTTGTTTGTTTCCTTTCCAATGAACCAACCATTAGATGGATATCGTAACGGACAGCCGCGCTTACATAAGCCGTGGATGTAGTGATCAGTGAAAAACCCTCAATAAAATATAAAAATGCTGAATTTAAAAGTTCCAAGTCAGTACAATGAATAATGATTTCGCACCATTTTATTATTATTTTGATTCTATCCTCTCCTTTTCTTTTTTTAATTATTATTTTCATTTCTTTGGACTTTATTGTATCCAACACAAAATCTTTATTTCATCAATACAATGCCCAGTTTAATGTCTGATTTATGGTCAACAATTCCAAAATACAAATTTACTAATACATTTCACCTCGAATTTTTCAGGTAGATAATTATTTGGAAGGTGAGTGGGTCTCTCTCTCTCTCTCTCTCTCTCAGTGTCTTCTCGTAACATTTTTTTCCGTATTTTAGTGATTCTGATTAACTTTGCAGAAACGTATGTCATAATCGCAGGAGTTACTACCTCTGGCGTGAAATATAATAACTGACACCGATGCATGAAAAATAATATCATAGTCACCTCTGTTTTTTTTCATTCTTTTTCTTTTCTTCAGATAACGACTTGGAACGCCGTGGTCTATTTAAACTTTTGAAAGAGGAATGTGCGGCCGGAAGACCCCTTAACAAGGGGATCGGACTCCCGTGTGGGTGCAATTTGGTAAGTGCTTTTATTATATTGATATATTGAGCAATGAACAGAGATAAATTCAATTGTAGCAATATATACTATAAAGGCTTGGACATGGTAAGATAACCAAGAATATAATGTCGTTCCACTGAAGAGACAAAACTTAAGCGAAGTGAAGATTTAACGTCTACTTCTCATTGAATTCAGTTAATGGTAAATAAGGTGGTAACCGGATGGAAGTTTCCTCACGCATTTTCACATTGTTGTAGCGTGGCATATAGCCGAGAGATTATTGAATAGATAGATATGGATGAATACAAAAATTATAAGTTTAAACTCAGATTTGCCTCACATTATTTGTTTGTCTACTTGACCAGGTCTGTGAAAGCAACAGCTGTAGACACTTCCAGTGTGGCCGGTGTACAATCGGATCTTGCCCTTCGGGCCAATACTGCGCTGCTTTCCCCTTGCTCAAAACCTCTCGATGCCAGGAGAAAAAAGATTGTAGAAGGTGGTGCACCAGCAAACGCCAGTGTAAAAGCGGGCGTTGTCGCTGGTTTAAATGCAAATGTTAGAAAATTCGACTCACGGGACAAAGGAAAAAAACCTTGAGAACCGCATAAACCGATCCCGTGATAAATTATGATACAAGAAAAAAGCTGATGCAGAATTATGAACTTTACTTCAATAATGTATTGTTTCACGGATTTACAGTCTAACAGCTGCAAGATTTTCAATATTCCGCTTCGATGACAACTTAATGAGAATTGTGCAAACAGATACCGCGACATTCTAATAAAATCTCAATCAGCAAGAGTGTTTTTCCCTGTCGTTCGCTTTACATAACTTTGCTTCATATTTCAATAGCTCTATAAACCGAACAATTTTCATACTAGCATTAAAATAAAAAAAAATTTCAGCTAAATAATTTATTCCCCATTAAAAAGACGGAAAAAATCATGAAATGAAACGCAATTCAATTTTGATTAGATTTTTAATATGCCCCACTTTCTTTTCTTTGCTCTGCTACTTTTGTAATAAAAGAGATACGATCTCGCCTGGGTGTTAAAAATATGAGAACATAACAAAATTACTATTTGATTTACGAGTTACCCCCATTTACTAGATCTAGTAATAGACCCATGATGATAAAGCAATGATGATGACCACACTGACCACCATCACAAATGCATTAATAATTTTTGGGAAAAAATGTCACAAAATCTGCTTCAACAAATGCCAGCGACTTCCCATAAGCTGCTAACCATTCATTGATTTACAATGACAATTTAATGATGACAATTTAAGGAAGAAATGTGATACATCATTACATTCACTTGAAGGTCGAGGGCCCACTGATATTTATATGGCAATTTGTTTGGGGTGGGGGGGGGGGGGGAGGTATGCAATTTTGTGTGGTCAGTTGGTTTGCCTCCAGAACAAGTGATCATCAAAGCTTTTTATATTCACAATTTTGATGTAATTAAATTAAAAAAAAAAAAGAAATTATATCTGATCCCCAATTATGTTTGACATAAACTTTTATCCAATAAGGAGACACATAATGTACTGACTACTGTATAGTTTGTTTTAAGCAATAAGCATAAACTGAAATTAAGTTAAAATTTTGCATGAAATAAATGCTAAATTTTCACCTTAGCTTTTGTCGAGTGATACTGTATCAAACAATAAATTTGAAGTTAATATGTAAGCAAGCTCAATCCTAGTTCCAAAATAAAAAGGATTCTAAGGAATAGTTTTATCAATTTCACTCAGCAAGTCAGGCAAGTGCACTGCTCTCATTTGAAACTTCTGGATGCCTTCTAAAATGCTGATAGTGAGCCCCACGGGTGACAAACCCCTTTCCGCAAATAGCACAAGTGTATCTGACTTCTGTGTTATGAATGTGCATGTGCTCTTTCATGATGGACTTTCTGTAAAAACACTTTCCGCACTGGGGGCACTCGAACAGCGGAGCCTCACTGTGGGTGGTCACATGATCATCAAAACGAGACTTGATGGCAAACGACTTTCCGCAGGAGTTGCATACATAAGGGCGTGGGCCTTTACTATGACATTCCTTCTGGTGGCGTTTTAAACTTGCGACACCAGGGTATATCTTTCCACACTCGTCACACTGAAGATTCCTTGGCACTTCTGTGTGCGTCTTCATATGTTCTTTCAGTCCGTGAAGACGCAAGTATGATTTCTTGCAAAATTCACAACTGAAAGTGGTTTGCTGGGAGTTGTGAATCTTCAGATGAACTTTGAGATCTTTCTGAAGAGCAAATTTTGCATCACAAGTTGGACAGGAGATAGTTTTAACCACATGCTTTCGATTTATGTGAGCCATAAAGCTACCAGTATACTCAGTAGCATATTCACAGTAATTGCAGTGATATCTACTTTGTTTCAATGCACCATGTTCATGTATTTCTGCCCTTTTCACAGTTACAGAAAGCTTTGAGAAGGGGCCAAGCTGACTCTGGCCTAGATGTGTGTTACCTTTGTGCAGAGCTAATTTATCCTGAGTATCAAAGGCAAAATCACACTGGTCACACCTAAATGGAAGTTTAGTTTCTTGAAGATTTTTTTCAACATCACAGTCCATCTTATGCCGTATGAGCTTCGTCATAGTGCTCAGTGTCTTTTCACATTGGTTACACTGGTATTTACTGCTGTTGTGGGTAAACTTGATATGTGTTTTCATATCTTTTTGGTCTCCAAATCTGAATGTACACTTGGGGCATTGGACTTGCCTCTCAACATGTTTCCGACTCATGTGGCGCTGAAACTGCTTCTGATCTTTAGCAGTAAATTTGCAATGGTTACAACTGATTTCATCATTTTTTTCTGTGCAGTGGGGAGTGAAATTTTCCCAAGGTAACAGAGTGGCATCAACACAGTCTTTATCTAATCCTTTCACCCTGATGTATTCAGAAGCAGTAATACACTGGTGTCTCCTATGAGATCTGAGTGTCTTCATGCATTTGCCACATTTTACACATTGAATTTTCATCCTCCAGTGTGTATTTTCTACATGGTTCCGCAGTTTGAATCTACTCCTGAAAGTGGCCAAGCAGACTGGACATGTCACATTATCCCCCGGGGTCACCGGATGTGCTGTGATGACATGTCTTATGTAGTCAAAACGCTGGGCAAAAAGTTCTGGGCAAAAGTCACATCTTTGTCTGTACTTGTCTAGATTTTCAACATGCAAGATCACAGACAGAGAGTTTATGTTATTGACTATGTTGTTACTGTCATTATCAGCACTGGAGTCCAGGTTGATTTCTGGTTTATCTGTAGAAGCACCTGTGGCTTTGGTAACTTCAAACGCCACTGTCGAATGTTGAATTTGGCTTTGGTTACTGTGCTCTGCCGGATCGATTCTTTCAATGAAAAATTTACAGCTCTGTTTAATTAATGTTTCCTGAATTTCGTCTGGACTCTCACTCTTCTGCACATTGTTTTGATCACATGTCGAAGACTGTGGGCGGGGGGACTCTTGCATCTTGACAACGCCGTCGGAGTTTTGATCATCGATATTTCCAGCACTCTTTTTATGGGAAATATGACGTTTCTTATCTTCATTTTTCTTTTGTCTTTTGGTAAGCATATTAACCTCTTTTGTCAAGTCTCTGTGAAGAGTTTGGACAGCTTTCCATTCGCCATGCACCCAACACGTCGTAACCCCTTTTACAACCTGCCATGTACAATTTAATCCACTCCTTTTTATCTTTGCCGAAACTTTTTGAGCACTTGGAAACACCCGGAGAACCTCGGGAGCAATAACTGCACATACAGAGAGGAAAACCACCATCTTCGGTATTTATAACGGGAAACGCTCTTTCTTGCGTTAAAAAAAGACAAAAACAAACTAACACACACGAAACACGAACCCCCTTAACCAGCTTGCAACGTTCGTTCAGTTATTTTCTCTGAAAGTTAAACTGATCTCCTTGAAAGAAGAGCTCCGATAATAACCCAATAGAAGCCAAAACCAATGGTGCGAGTTCATTTCCCTCAGTGCTCTTAGGGCATTACGTCAAAAAAAAAAAAAAAAAAAATCATATAGCTATATTTCTGTGTTGTCTAACTCTTCCAATAGTTCTCACAAAATAAAAAGATAAATAAAATAACAGATAAAAAAATAAAGAAAGAAAGAAGAAAAGGAAGACAACCAGGATAGTCAGTGACAAAGGAGAGAAAGAAAAGATTGCAATTTTACCAAAATACTAGTCTCCACATATTAAAAATATTGAAAATTTTCATCGCAATTTGCCTTGACACGGGGCCTTTACCCTCTAGTTTATATCATGTTTAAATACTGTACAACACACCTCACAAATCATGAAGCAAAACTTCACAAATTTTCATGTTCTGGAGCAGGTATTTGTTTTGTCCTGGCATGTGACACAGTACGAAAAATATGGCATTATCTTTAAGGTATACTATTTGGGATTTCCCCATAAAATCAAATTACTCTTTGAAAAAAAATTAAGTAACTCGATCACAGATTGATTGCTTGACCCATCTCTGCACTAGGATTCAGTTTTGCTTCAGACTGTTTAGGCAATCAAAATTGACAAGAACAAGAACAAGAATTCTTCACAACAGGTGCTTAATCATGATTAATTGGCACTTGCTCAAAACTTTGTGATACAGACAAGTGTACATTCCACATACTGTGAAGATCGAGGGCCATGGTCATCATACCATAAAACACTGACCAAACTTGACTGGAAATGCTTCTTTGATGACATATTTATTATCTGACTATTGAAGCAAATTTTGTAATTTATGTTTATTACAGTAACAGTTGCCAGCAAACATATTGCATTACATCATACTTCTGTAAATAAGTAAACAAATAATACATAATTAATAAATATTCATTTTTGCTTATTATGTAAAGTCTGTTCCTTTTTTAAGCACTGAATGGTGAACGGTATGACAAATACCAACAAACATTTTAAACAGTCAGCAAGAATATATCTCACAGCCATTTCACCAGGTTTATGTTCAAAATGTTTTATGCGTGCCACTCTACAATTTTACATATAAGAAAAATAACTTTGAAAGAGAACCAGTTTTAGACATAAATCCATGAGATTTCCATTCTTAGCATGATTTCTTAATTGTATATTAATTATTTCTGTATTCACTTTAACAAAGCTCCTGTATTGCTTTTGTGTACATGTGGAATAAAAGTTTCCTTTTGTTTTTCAAGTTGATTTTTTTGTATAAGTTTTATAATACATTACATCAGATCATCCATTCCACAATACAGCATTTATCTTAATTAGCACCTGTAGCACTGAGAGCTACACACCACAGTAAAACACACTGGTAGATATAAACTGTTTACCATCTATATACTATCAGTCATGTAAAGACTATATGATGATCCTTCGTAGCATAGTCAGAATTTAAAATTGTGTTCACCCAAGAGCCAACTAAAAAATGAAATACTTAAGCTCATGCCTAAGACTTCATAACTCCGATGTTAAACAATCAGGGGCCTAGTCTAAAAAGTTCAAATTTGTTGACAAATTTTCCATTTTCAGGAAAAGTCTCTTGGAACCAGACTCTGGTCACCTGGTGATCAACTGGTCTCTGCTCAGTGCAAGTTGGTCCTGAGGTGAACAAATAATGCATTAAACAACTGACAGCTCAGAATGATCATTTCAGCTATGATGACACATTTCTCTATAAATGAATTAACAACCTACAACTTTAAAACAATCAAACTGATAAGCCGAGTAAGAGAATGAAGATAATAACATGATTACATTTGTTGTTCTGCTGTTGCCGTATTGATATTTCTTAGCTTGCAAAAATTCAGAAAACTGGAGGATACCATGAACAGTGGTAATTCTATCACTTATGTTGCTTTAAATCCAATTTATCAACTTGAAATAAAAAAAATAAATAAAAATATGTGTGCACTTTTACCCTCACCCTCTTCTTCCAACAATTTCACAGTGAACTTATATGTACATTTCGGCCATTCCTCATGGTAAACTCAAGTAACTTGTGTAATATGATATTGCTTTAAGTAGAATTTCGCACTTGGAAAGTTTCCACAACTCAGCATTTTACATAAATTGAACTACAAAAAAAAAAAGTAAATAAAGCCTTTTCTCTCACAATTTAGTGCAAGCATATCCAACTGCTAACACATGGATTTAAAAACTCCAGGAAAAGTGCACCACCTTCCCCCCAAGATTAAGAGGGGCAATTTAAGGGCATTAGCATTTTTGTGGGCCTTTTGTGGGCCTTTTGTGGGCCTTTTTAAACCCCCCAGCCCCCACCCCAAATAAGCATGATTGGGTTAACAATGGCTTGGTCCTGGAAGCAACAACAATAGCAGACTGAGACAAAGTTATCATTTGCCTACATATAAACATATGCTTTATCCATACTAAGCTAGCCTATTCTGGAACAACACAACCTAAATGGTAAGATAATTATCTTGAAATATCTGCTTTCAAAAATTTCAATTCAGATTTCAAGGTCAGTCGTAACTCTTGCCCACAATTCCACTGATAACTATTAATATTATCTGATAAACTTACTATATATAGAAGTTGTAGTATACAAAAACATGCACAATCACAATATGTCTAGCCACTAAATATCGAAATGCTTTTAAAAGATCACAATTATCATATATTAAATAATCTATTAATAAATAAACCTAATTATTTTTCCTGAAATTGTTTTTTTGTACATATTTTACTATCATAATGAATAAAGAGATAAGGAAAAATTACAACATTTCTCATACTTTTCAGTAACAGTATAACTTTATGTACAGAAACTTATCACATCTACGAGTGTATACTTTGTGTAATAGACAAAACTGAGATTCAAAACTTATTTCAGAATTCAAGTATGATGGTTCTGGGCCCAAATACATATCCTTTAAAAATAGGATAGTTGAGTTTCTAGAAATCTGAATAAGAAGATGCAAACTTTGCAGAAGGGAAAATCTTATAAATAAAAAGAAAAAGAAAAAAAGGTTTTATAAAATGAACAAAGCTTAATGTTTCTAACTATTACACAAACTTTCTATCATAGAGCTATGAACTTCCACTTTCCTAATTCTATCTTAATATTGTGATATTACAGTACATTAAGTTCTACATGTAACTCTCCTTAATTACATGGGAATTCTCTACTGAATTATATGTGCCGAAGGAAGAATACAATTACTTTACTTTCATTTTAATCACTAGCACTTTAGTTTTAGAGCACATTTTCAGTCTTGTTTCATCTGAATAATATTTTGATATGTTACATAATTAATATAAGTTATTCACACTTTAAACAGCACCAAGTAAAGCAACACTAAAAAAAAGCTGAGATCAAAATAATACTCAGAGAAAAGCAACTAATAAACTATTAAACAAACAAAACAAATGAAAATTGGCAGATCACAAAAACATGATTGTTCCATCACTTCCCTTTTTAAATGTTATTTAATTAATGTCCACAATTTTTCAACAAAATATCCAATCAGCATTTCACTGCAAGCTTTAAACCCTGAGCTCACCATCCACTTATTTCATTAGTGAGCATTTTGGTTAGGTGAGCAAAACGTAAGTTTTGTATCCCCCAACAGTACTGTACGTCTTTCCATTGAAAATACTAACCACTTCAACGTTTGTTCAAGTGAATACAACACAGAGCTCCCATAGTTTCTTTTAAAGACATCCCTTAATCAGTTATCTGTTCTGACTTCGTATGTCTTTCATGTAAATAACTTAAAGACAAAATATATAATCTATCATAACAAGCTAAATATGCTACACTCAACATATGTACAGGGAAAAATAACTTTTTTTTTCCTTTTGTTAGTTTTGGAAATAGAACCAGCTATATTCCATGACAATGCTAATATAAACATATTGTAACAACAGGGCTGAAATATTTACCAAAAATGGAAACAGATAAGCTGCAAAAAAAAAAAAAAAAAAAAAAAANCATTACAGGTGGTTAACAATTCTATCTACACTGTCTATACATACATATACAAATTACTAAAATAAAACATATAAAAAAATCTTATTGGACAACTGTCAATTAAATTCCACAGGCCATCACTTCTTTTGCCAATTAACATTTCTTTGCTTTTTAAATCTTCGCTTTCAAAATCTAATGTCTCTTTCTTGTTTATAATTTTTCTTTACAGTTTCAAACTTCTTTAACTGATCTGTTGTTCTTTTGACAACAGTGCAAATAAATATTTTGCTCACAATAGAAACACACAAATTGCACCTCTCACAATGATAATTTACAATGAGTTTTTCCTAGACAAACATTTCATTTTTTATCACTGAAAGTTTAGCTGAAATGTTGAATGTTTCTTTTGATACTTACATGGTTCTTACACAATTACATTCATTTACAACATTGTTACAATCATAAACTTACAGCAGGTGAAAGGATAATTTTACTTAGTAAATGTAAGTAAAACTTCATCATGATTCCTGATGATGACCAAGTACAATGCTCCTTTTTGTAAGATAAACATCTTCCACTCAGAGTACAGCAGAGTCTTCATAAAACTTTAAAGAGCGTTTCATCACCACTGATTCAGAAATCAAAACTTTGCCAAATAATCAAAATTTATGAGATGATAATTGCATTTTTCAGTAGGATTAAGCAAAATCAAAATCAGCTTTCTTTCTGCTTAGATCTACTCTTAATTCAAATTTGACGTCAAATAACAACAGGAATAGATCTGGATAAACAATTGCTTTTTTTAAACCTTCAAAATCAGTATGTGACCAAAAAGTATCCAAACATCTACTACAGGTGTATTAAATTCTAAACACTAGTCTTCTAAACAATAGCATACCATTTTGTATTGTTTGATGCCTGTATAACTGTTACCATAGTAAATATTGTTATAAATGTACTGATTAACAACTCTTTCGTTCCCTATCCTACAACTAAAACCAGATGGTAACAATGTACTTCTTCTTTCCTTACCCTAAATAATGAAAAATGAAGCTGGCAGCTAGCTACACATGCACTTTTTTCATCCCAAATCAAAAATGGCAATAAATGAAAACCAAGATGACTGCCACCTCACTTGACTGCCTGTTGCGCCTGTGGGTTGTTGACCTGTCCGTTGGCAGACTGGAGTTGTATTGGGATGTACGTATGATGCACCAAGCCTGCTGGGAGAGAGGCCTGAACTGCACCCAGTGACCCCACTGTTACCTGGTTCTGTACAATCCTGGTAGGAAAGAGAGACTTGGTCTGGGATTGCGTGGAATGGGGTGAGGATTGTGTCGGTACCAACTGCAGCTTGGGTGACGGCATTGTAGGGGTCACCGGTGTCAGTGGAGAGGGCAAGGATACAGGGCTTGGGGAGGAGAATTTTGTCGGAGAAATCGGTGAAGATGTGGTCGTTTGAATGTTGAGAAGTTCTGTGGTAGGGTGCTGATGTAGTGCATGGTTTCTCAGGCCTTGCGCTGTTTTATAATTCTTTCCACACCTGCACTTAAAAGGCTTTTTTACTCTGAAAAAAAAAAAAACGGCATATTTAGAATTAAAACTTTTTCAGAGATTCATTTTTTTACAGATTCATTTTTTTCTATCATACATATCATTTCAAATCCTGTAAACTAAAAAATAAACTTTTTTACTCCACTTAATAAAACATATTATGCATTTTCAAGTCAAATACTTAAAATTCTGTACACTCAAAATTTCATCAATACTAGTGCCTTTAACACTAATTTTATGTAAAGCATGTTAAATCTTCAGTGTCATAATGTTAAGCTTCAGGACTTATCAGCACCTCATTTCTTTCCTGTGTCCATGTCTGGCATGATACTTGATACCATTGACATTCTTATACCTCTTTTTACAACCAGGTACTGGGCATGCAAATGGCTTTTCGTTGTCAATATTGTCCTTTAAATTGTTCAAACTGAAAAAAAGTTGAATTGGCTATTTTACATGTGCAAACAGTAGGCCATTTCTAACTAATAGCGCATTCCCAGAGATTTAGATCAATCCAACTAGATCAGCCTAACTCCCTGGGGGTTCACGTTAAACTGATGTCAGCCGACAGTGCACAGAAGTTAATTACCCCCTTACAGCTTTTAGTAGGCGGGACAGACATTTAAGCCGGCTAAGCTGACAGTAATCTAGTGAGACTCCCCACGGGGATAGACTGATCTAAGATCTCTGGAACGGGGTCTAATTCCTAACACCTCACTAACTCTTTACTTTTTTAAAGATTTATTAAATTCACTTGAGCACAAAATACAAACAAAATAATAACTTTCAAACTACAACCCTGCTTTTTTGTTCGATTAATCTAGTATTTAAATTTAACAGCATAAATTTTCATTATAACAATATAACCAAGTGATTGCCTTTACTGAATGCTTTATTAGTTTTTACTTATAAACTTGCTTATAACATCAATCATCATGCTTAAGTATATACAGTAACTGTAAAAATTTAGGTAGAAAGAAAGTATGTAAATGTAATTGATTATACAGTATTACTATTCAAAATAATCAATATAAATCTGTTTGAATATAGATGAATAAAAAAAAAAACATTGTACCCGTTATTTTTGTGGTATCTCATGATAAACTCTGTGGTAAACTCGTCTGAGGTAGTCCAGGAATCATCGCTGTCTTCATCTTCACTGAGCATTTCATCTTCATCAAATTCACTCCCTGAAATCACAGCAGAAGAATTGACGTTTTTGAACTTTTTTTCACAGTCGGGTGTAGAAAATATGTGCTACAGATTCTTGCAAACTTACTTTGTCCAAATTTACATGCAGAGGATTAATTCATGGAGGCAGATTAAATGGGGAATTGTTATTCACCCATTATATACTTCTAAACTATAACCATCCAAATATGTTTTTAAACTGTTGTTCCACCTGTGGGTGTGAGACTCCTGATGGCAACTGATGGTGACTGGACACGCTGCTGTAACTGTTTCTTTCTCTGAAGATCTTGCACTGGCTCCCTCTTTATTCCTTCTGTGTAAAACCTGTGTTGAAAACAAGGCGAGGAAATTTAAGCTGTATTTACATTACAAATTTTTTCTCTCAGACTATGTTGTTTTGTGTTTTTGGTTGTTTAATTGTTTGTGTTTTTTTTTTAATTCATGTTGCTATGATTTTTTTTAGGTGTAAAGCACTTAATTCTGTCTAATTATTTTATCACAAAAATTTGGTTTGTCTATATTCTTTAAAACTGCAAAAATATTCAAATCATGTCAAAAACAAATAACTGACTTAAAGATGATAATAATTTTAAAAACATACTGTATCAAGGTAAAACATATACAGTAAAAAATAAGTACTTCAGAAAAAAAGCAAGAAAAGGTCTAGTTAGACATGTCTGCACCTTCTCTCTCTCTCTCTCTCTTTACACATACACTTGCACACACACACACACACACACACACAGAGAGAGAGAGAGAGAGACTGCTTACCTTAAAACATAACTTAGAGCAATGGCGGGTGGTTGCTGTATTTCTTGCTTTTCTACAAATCTTGGGTCTGTGTCTAGATAAAAAGGAAAGAAGCATTCATTATACAAATATCTCTTCAACATTTTAGGGTGGGAAAATGTCAAGCACTTATAGAGTTAACACATATAAAAACAAGTTGTAGAACCTCAGTGCATTACCCAACTAATATACAGATGGTGCTGTTAATACTGGAAGTTAAGGCAATTAGTGACTGCCACTGCTGTTGCAAATTAATATGTGTGCCGTGATAATTTAATACCAACTAAATACAGTTATCCCTTATACAGTAATCAGTGTCTGGAGTCTGAAGAGATATCATCTTGTATGATACTGCCAGAGGTGATGACCCTACTTTCCAGAGTAATCATCACAATGACATTTATAGATAAAACGTGTAGCTTTATGTAACCAACTTATATTTACAGATTGCTTTCAAGGAAGTCATGTTCATGGTGAAGTTGGGTTAAACCTTTCTAGTTGTGGTCTGTCCATCTTATTAAATAATGTAACTTTAGAATAACCCAGTCATACCCAGTTTTGAACTTTACATGCATTTTAAACCAGCAATAACCTAGCTGTGCAGGATTTACTACTAAGGGGATTACCATTTTGATGATACAGAGTACAAGAAGCCAAAATCCCTGTCCACTATCATTGCTATTGATGCAAAGTATATGTTTATATCGAACGCCTTCATCTGAGGTGTATCATATACCATAGAAGGTCAACCCAACAGACCGGACACACAAATCTGAAATGACCACTTGAAAATGACATTTAATACATGTATCATCTCTTCATGGCCATTATAATTCACTCTACGTTATTCTTAACATCATTAGAAGTTATTAGGAGCTTAATCTCTCTCAGTGATTATCTTCCTTATTGAAATTCCATCAGCTTTACCACATGATGTACTTGTGGGAGTTCACTTTAGCTGTTCTTTTTTACCACTTATTACATGACATGTGAGACTGGTTCTTCATCAGCCTCTATTAATTGTAAACTCACAAGAAGGCTCATTATTCATTTAACCTGCATTTAACTTCCTAGTTGAAAATTATACTATAACTGTTCTAAAGATAAAAGCAAAATGTGTCTGCCTATTATATGTCAACAAGCTATGATTTAGAATTTCTGACCATCGTAGGCCACATTCAGAAAAGATGATCTACAGACTATATAACTGCATGGTCCGTGGATCAAATGTGGACGACCCCACTTGAACGCCATGCCAAATATTGATAGATGAAGACATATGATTGGTAGGTGGGTTTGGTAGGTGGAGACATGATTAGAGGATTATTCAGCTTCACTTTTAAGAGGAATGGGCCATTTTTGATATGCAGACCAGTTAGTCCACGGATCATCTCTTCTTTCACAATGAATCTATCATACTAGCTAGTTGGCACTCACTCTGTGGGGACTCTCGCCGAATGCAATCAGATAAACCCACATGATGCAAATGGTGGATGTCTGAGTGAATCCCAGAATGAAAAGATGAGAGCCAAAACATGACAAAAATGTTAGTTGTAGGAAAATAATACACATTTTATGAGTCAAGGCTAACAATGGACATATTTCAGTCAGACTATCACTTTGTGACCCAAATAACCATCTGTTAAACTGCACTATACTGATATCTATATGACAGAGAAGCAAAGAAAATCAATACAAAGTGATTTACTACGGCCTAGATGTAAAACCATCCTAGCCTGCCTTGCTAAATATTCCTCTCAATCAATAATGATTCAATAACAGACAGCAAATCTATATGGGCAACTTAATTGATATTTGCAAGTATAGGTGTAAATCCTATGCTCTGCTGGAAATCTTATACAGCCTAATCTGTCTTCCTTCACAGATATGCTTATGCATTCAATGCCACTTTTACAAGAACAGCTTCAGTCTGATATTCTTAAGAAGATCTTGCTTGCAATTAAAAGTCAAGCCACACAGAGGAGTCCTGTGTTATTCTATAATCAAGCCAACTATCTGCTCATTACTAGTAAGACGACCAATTAACACAGGGATCAGATATTGAACAACCATAAATAAACTGCCTTGAGTTTCAGAGCTCACTGCGGACTTTCCCAGTTCAGTATAATCTGGAACTTGATAATAATGTTCGTGTCAAGAACATTGCCTTCTCTCATCATTGGCTTTTTATTATTAAGACAGCAACAGCCCTCATACCCACCCTGGGGTTCAGAGGTCACATGGAGACTCCATATTACCCAGAATATCCTCTGAAACTCAGGGTGACACAAACTGATATTCTTTCTAAATTAACTGTAAAAACCATGCAGCGTATGATTCAGCATATGTGACTCAACACTGGCGGGGGATATATGACAGTATCTACATGATAATAGTTATAATAAGTTAATTGCATACTAACTGTTCAGATAAGGCTACTTAATACTGGCAAGTTCAATATGCTAGACAGATTTCTTAGTTACTAGAACTGTATTTTTACAGCACGAGTCAATTGTCACATTTACAACTGAAGTGTTTCAGGCACTAACAGGTTCTAATTAGCACCTATGTCACATCATTTTTGTAAAATCAATAATCTAAGTTCTGCATTGACTCGTGTACATGTATAAAGCATTCTAGTACAGCTATACTTGTGCACGTACTAGTACTGGTATTTTCTTTACACCATGGATTAAAGGTATGCTCGTTTGAAAACGTCCCTTAGTCATATAATTTATCAGTCAAAATATCCTAGAATGATTTCCATCTTTATCTTTCTAAATTTGGACCTTAAAAAACCATAAACTTCCTCAAATGAAGGCACCTGATGCTGATATTTTCTTCTGCTTTAGAGGGAAGACACTCAGATTAATGAAGATTCTGTCTTGGAAAATTTAGGTTTCACATCATTTGACAATTCTTAATTTTGCAGATCACATGAAAGTTATCTATTTACATTTCATAATTACAAATGTCCACCATCCAAGACAGACTATGTAGTCAATATTTGTGGGATTTGGTCAACAGTGTGGTCAAAATCATAAATCTGATAAGTTATTGAAATAAGCTTAGGACTTGTTAATATGTGTATGATGTGTAAAGATGGTTGGCTTATGTGTTAGCATTTTTTAAATCAACATAACATGATTCAAGGCTGGGCCACTGAGGGATATGTGTTTTGAAAGACTACCTTGCTCTTATTTTCCTTTGAGGTACATTCTAATTTAAATGGTCTTAGGATTTTCAGTTTTGGGTGCACTGCCCACCAGGTGTGAACTATCTTTCTCTCTTTCCTTCTAAGATGACTGTATTTCAGCAGCATGCAGTCATTGTCTCACTGGCCTTTGGGTCCAATAATGACAGTTCTGGTGTGGAAAGACTAAATTAAGCTTCAAGGACATACATAACATGCTGAATGTACATAAGGTTGTTGCCAGCTTGGTAATAGTTTGCTTGTTTGGTGATTTCTCTTATCATGCCCCAATTTAAGATCTAGTCAACACAAAATTAAAACAGACAATAAAGAAAAGATATTCACAAAGGCAGCTAGAGTTAATAAATTAAAGGGATAATAACTCTTCGTATGAGATCTATATTTCACAATAAAAACATTGTGAACAACTCATAGAAATATAATATATTCTGTTGTACCACAAAAACGGCAGTTACAGCTATTATTCTGATATCTGAGCTTGTCTTTAGACCATGTGACCTCCATTGATGGCTATACTCTATTATAATCTCTTAAGAGATTATAACAAAAAACCAAACTTTTTAGAAAAAAACCAGGGACTAACTTTGAATGTGAAAATGGATTCAATAACCATTGGTAAGTATGGGAAAATTGTTGTTTACTCTAGGAAAATTCATTTTTTGGCCAAAACGAAGAGTTATTATCCTTTTAACCATAGCTCATGGTGTCCACAATTAAAGCATTTTTGATAGCATCTATTACAAGCTCTCCATTACAGACTGACAAGATGTCTTTATCAGTTTTGGCACACAGTCAATCAAAGAATCTATGCCCATGGGATTTTACCAATATTTGCCAAGGAAAACTGATATTTGGAAATGTCTTTCACCAGTTAGGCTTGTGATATTTTGATTGGATATAAATACATGAACATATTCCAGATGTCATTTTAGACTCATCTGGACAAAAGAAGATTTAGAGAGGTTAGTTTGAGTCACGCACTTTGCAGAAAGGGTTTGCTTAGTCCTCTTAATTGGCACACAACCAATATATATATATATATATATATATATATATATATATATATATATATATATATATATATATGATCTGCCCCTACCTTTCATATACTAATTTGCATTGGTAAATATTAAGTCAAAACTTTTATGAAACTGATTTGTGACCTGCAGTTCTAGTGTTTCCACTATGTCAGTTTTAATTCCGTATAAAGTACATTTGCACTGAAGAAAGATACGGCCGATAAGGCCACTTGCATTCGTAGCTGAATCAAACATTTATCTTTCTCCCGAATGTATGTAAATCATTATTCTTGGAAAATATGAATAACGACCTTTGAACTACCCTTGTTGACATCGAAAATTTTTCTAAAGCCTTTCCATGCCCATAACAAAAGACAGCTGCGTCTTTTATAATACCATCGCAAAAAGCATATTGTAAACAAATGCACGTGGTTTTTGTGCGTGGGATTCCCCTCTTTTAATTTCTTCTGAATTTCAAAAAATACCTCAGCTTGCAATAGTGCAAATTCAGATAAACGGCAAATCCTTTCAACTTCTATTAAGCATACCTGCATTTGGTAAAGAAATAAGTTGCAAGCGCCTTAAAAACTTGCTCCTTTTCCTATGGGAATTCCCTGAGTGACGTCATCGCTCAGTCAGCTGTCAAACTATTATTATGATGTAAACAAAGGGAGTTTTTGCTTCCTGCTGTTTTCAGACACCACATATACTAACAAAAGTACATCTGTGATACATATAAACCATCATACCTATATGTGACTCTTCAATGTGCTGGATCAGATCACCCAAGGATGCAAAATTAAGCCCACAGTTCTTGAACTTACAGATATTCACCAAGAACACCGCCATTTGCATTGACCTGGGAGTCTCGCTCCCGGGAATTTGCATACAGCTCCGACCGGAAATACACGAAGTGAGCCGAGTTTTTGTACAGTCTTAGAAAAGATTTCTGTGAATCAGCATATGATTCTGTGTGTTTGTGGTCAAAAGTATGATATATTTTTCTGAAGAGGAAACGATAAAAGTTATAAATTTCCAAGTTTTAGTAAAACTTCATTTCCCATAACGAGAGTTCATTTGCCGCCATCCCTCTAGTAACTATTGAGCATTGTCACGCATGCGCACTTTGCAAACCAGTCAAGAGACACCGGCTCTGTGATGTAAGTAGTAAAATTTCTTGCAAAAATCCTTCGCAATCTGACAGTAGATTTGGTCATCAGTGCTATACAATACACTCAAGTGGTTTGTTCTGTATAACTTTGCATGTTTTTTTGAATGACAATTTGTATTTTTAGGTCAATGTGAAGATTTGTCGACCACAATATTTGTTGTAACCTTGTAGCGTCGTCTCTTTTTCAGAGCACGGAAAGTTTTGTAGCCTGCAACCGACCATGTACGCCTGTGCAAAGATCGCTTCTCCCTTGTCAAGGGCAGTAAGTATCATTTGCGATTGTACGTGATGTTAAAATTAGTGTTTGACATGATTTGATCTTAATAAGAAATTTGAAAGTTAAATTCCAAAATGGCGGATGCAGCTTTTATCAATGTCGAAAACTGGGCTAAATTTATTATATCAACTTGAGGTCTTAAAATATATTTGCAGTGTTTGTTTTCCAAGTGCCTATATGTAATGCTTAGAATACAGTCACATCGTTAAAACATAATTCGAACAGTAGTTCAACAGATCCAGAATGCCCTAAATTGAGCTAGTTTATCACGTCAAGACGTTTTGTGTGAGGGTATTGACTAAATTGATGTGGCTCAACATATTTGATACCAGACCTTAGTGTCCTATATGTGTGAAGAATAATTTTCCCAAATGCTTATAGTTGCTTTTAATTGACTGAGTAGGCAGATAAAAAATGTTTTTCACAATAATTTGGGATTTTCTGTTCTTTTGAAGATATGTTTGGTATGGATAGAACTATTGCCTATCACTAGTAGTAAAATTTTGTTTTAAATGGCTTTTTGCATTTTTTTTTTTTTTTTTATGTCAGTTGGTAAGCCGACAGAATCAGATTGTCAGACCAATCAGCACTGCCTTCACAAACACAAGGACACAGGAAACGGTAAGGGTGCATCAGAAAGTTCTGGTATCTTGTGTAAATAATGTTGGCATCTTGAAATAAAATATTCCATGATATCTCAAATATTCCCTGTTATACTCTAGTCTTAAGTCTGTAGTGGTCTATCTTGCCAACCAGTCCTTTCTTTCACTGTTAAGTTTGTTGATATGTTTGTCACAAATTTCTATAAAACCTGTGCTGAAAATTCAGTGCTATGTCACATATTCAGTAACTCTTTCTTGACAGTTGGATGATGTAAGTCTATGAGGTATGTATGCTGTACTTTCTCTATATTATACACTGTTGTTTCAGACACCATGCAGCACAGTCGCCACCATGAATTCGGCAGCACCATTGTCTGTGTTGGCATCCCAGGTAATAGATATTATTGAAATTGAGCGAAGTGTTTTTACTTCTTGGAGAGTTAAGTTCCAAATTGTGTCAAGAATTCAAAGTACACTAAAGAGTCATGCTTGTTAATATTTGACAGTGCCAGTGTTATGTTGGTCCTATGTCCCAAGTTTATCAGTCACTGCAAAAACGGGGTATTGCTGGTCCCGCCAAGGTGTTTCACTGATGCCTGTCAAATTTTGCCATGCCTTTTTTCCCCCACCTTGCTGCAAATGCTTTTTGCTCCAGCCTGTTTCATGTATTCTAAAGTGCTGTGTATCCCGTTTCCATAGATCCGTAGTTTCCAGACCAGTGTATCCAGGAGAGACATTGATCAGGCTGCCAAGTACATTGGTGCTGGAGCAGCTACAGTAGGAGCAGCCGGATCAGGTACGATATGCTTAGTGGAATGCTAGAATGTGTCAAAGTAAATTTTGAAAGGGTGCTGACAGTCTGTGACCTTTATTGACATTCTGAATGTGTTGTAAGTGACTATTGTATAAAGTGCATTGGCAAATTGAAAGAGGGGAGTTCACTGCAAGATTTCAGGTTGGAATAAAATTAAGTTTTAAAATAAATTTAAGTGGTCTACCTTTTTCTGTATCTGTGATGCATATTAACACGTTCTTCATAATTTTCCTTTGTAGGTGCTGGTATCGGCAGCGTATTTGGCTCTTTAGTAATAGGATATGCAAGAAACCCATCCCTGAAACAACAGCTTTTCTCCTATGCCATTCTAGGATTTGCTATGAGTGAAGCTATGGGGCTCTTCTGTCTTATGATGGCTTTTTTGCTGCTGTACGCCTTCTAAATAAGGTGGTGATTAGGACACTTTTCAAATGTATTCTGTTATGATAAAAAGATAACCTATTCTTTAGACCGAAAAGTTTGTGATTGAAGATTTTGTGTCACTGCACTATTATATTCCTAGAGACTGCAGTTAAGTTTCCAAAGAAACGACTAAGGTGTGTTAGGGGATCCCTCCAGATGACCAGCTTGATCGAGTTCTTTGTAACTACCTGTAGTTCTCCTGAAGTCACAGCATCAGACAATTATTGTTAGGGTTTGAAATGGATTTTGTTTGATATTTACGCTGAAATAAGACTTGCACCGGGTACTAAATGGAAATATTGTCGTGAGGTCGACATATGTGGCCTATATACAATGGCCCGTTTCATGTGGTTTCTGAGAGGGAAAAAAAACTTGTATAGATAAAATCATAAAATGTTTGTTTGTTGCTGACTATAGATAAGGTGATTGTCGTCAGCCTATGAGAAAACGTTGCCAATAAAAGGTATGTCGAGTTAACTTTGGTCTTGTGTTTTCATTGCTGAAATTCAGACGTGATTTTCAAAGTAAATTTTAAATTTGGATACGGTAACGTGCACGGATTCATGAGCCTGGTGATCACTTTTGGTACAACTTTGTTAAGGTGGCTTGATTCTACATTCGAACGTAGATCTCTAATTATATGTTAGAATAAAGCGTAACTTGACTGCCCCTTTACCAGAGACGCTGATACCAGATATTCACAGGTATGTCTCTGCTGTGAGGAAAGTGCCCAATTCATCTGCGTCCCTGGTAAGAGTAACGTAACTGCATCACAAAAATGATAATATTACCAATTCCACCTCGGGTTGTATGTACCCTCTACCAGGGCCGCAGTTATTATTGTGGACATTTTTTTTGCTGAGGCGACAGACCAAAATTAGTTTCTATTTATCTAGAGACATATCTGTGAATACATGTGAAAAATCAATCTGCCGCACTGGTAGAGGGTAGGTGGTTTGCACGGTAGGATATCTTGAGCAACATGGCGAGGGATTTCGGTCGGTTCACCCCCAAGTTCAAAGATGTTACAATCTATTTGCAGAATGAGCTGATAATAGAGGATAGTTTCCAGTTGACCCCTGAAACTTTAGGTGGGTCTGTTTGAACCAGTGATAGCATTTCTTATCTAAGTGGGTGTTGAAGGTAATTAGAACTTTTTCATCGTGCTTTAAAAACTAATACAATGCCGAGCACAAGACGCGTACGCTGGTGTTTTTTTTTTTTTTTTTTTTTTAACTTGAGGGAAAAACATTATTTTGAAAGCAGTCGAACTGGGAAGGAGTGTAGGTAAATTTACCTAGGATCCAGATCTTATCCATTAAATCGTTGGTCCATGATAAAACCGATGTTCTTAACGTATGTGATGTTTTTTTCCCCTATCGTAAAATTTCTCCCTTGTATTCAGATTGCGTAATTCTGATATTTTGTTCCATTTACGTGAGGATTCGAGTTTGATACTGTTCATATAAGTTTCAGCTAATAGCAAGTAGAAAATCCGTTCAGTCAAGATTTGAGTTAAAAAGAACAACAGTTTAAGTATTAAAATAGGTGTCGAGTAAAACGTGGATGTAGACTATCGTATACCTAACGCTACCTGAACTGCATTTCGAGAGAAAACGGAAGCACGGGTTGGTGAAAAGCAATTTAACTCGAATAAAGGTGATTTCTCCGCAAAAAAAATATATATATATTCAACTAATATTTCCCTGCGATAAACAGTACTTTCCTGACACAGTGGCGGATTTAGGGAGGGTGTCAGGTGGGTCCTGACCCCTCCCCCCCCCCCCCCCTCTTCAATTTCTGAAAAAAAATCACACCAATGGTCTTTTCTTGAAATTACAATTTTTACTAGGTGAATCATAGTTCTAAATCACACCAAATGGCACCGGTCGCCCTCTTAAATACCAAATTTTTTGGGGGCCCCACACCCCACGCCAAGTGGGGAGGGTCGGCTTTGAATCTGCACTCCCC